TCTATTCTATTCTATTCTATTCTATTCTATTCTATTCTATTCTATTCCATTCCATTCTATTCTACTTTCCTCTATTCCAATGAATATGTATGCAACAAATCATTATTTCTACATATTTAACATAAAAATAAAGAATTTAACATTTAAATTGTTAACTTATCAATGTGGGTCTATTCATTTGTACAATTTTGGAATGTCCTATAAGATGGCATTTAAAAGGTCTATTTTGGGGGACCCAGGATTGCAGTAGCTTTAATGAACAATAATATTCTCATCTTAAAAAGAAAACTTACATCAAGTGATTCCAGACAATACCAGCAGAAGGCGTGCTTACAATTTTTACACATCATTTGAGCGCAGCCTTCATCCCTTTCAATATAAACTTTGCATTTTGGGCAGCGCTTGATTGGCGCATCATCTTCTTCCATTTTATAAACAGAGCTGGAAGAAACAGATTGATTACATTAGGGGACAAATACTTTTTCAGTACGTGTCACTTTCAAATTGAAATTATTTCTGTGTGGCCCAATGATGAAGACCCCAGCCTACCACTCAGAAGGTTGAGAGTTCAATCCTAGTTACTGACAGATGTTTCTCTCTCCTAGGGCGCTAAGAACAAATATTTGTTCTGAACTCCATGTGGGCATCAGGAAGGGCATCCAGTCAGTAAACACTCAGCTCTATCAAGTCACCCCAACTCTACCCCGAATAGGAACTACGGGGTCATAAAAAGGGAATATATGATGTGACCATATTCAAGAGAGATTCTAAGACCATCTTTTGCTAAAAAAAAAAAAAAACATCTACAGGTATTCTCTATTTTTTGTTGGAATGACAAAAGCAGTAACACAGGGCAAGCTTTTCATTTTTGGAGCATGTGTATAATGCTACATTGCCTATAAAAGAAGGGAGGATTTGCATTGCAACATCATGATGTTGCTTGTCGCTTGCATCACTCTGAGCTCTATGTCCTCTGCTGTGGTTGTTACTGATACAAAGGTTTTTAAAAATCCCGTCAACTAACAACATGCCGCCTGAGACAATAGCGACAAAACCAGCTTTGTGAAAGCTGAGTGAAAAAGCTGCTAGTAATATGTTAGGAATAGAGGCGCCTTGCTCCGTAGCTCTGTACCTTGTTTCCCCTGGAAGGAAGCTGACTGGCATATTCTCCTGACATCCTTGTCCTGGATGCCAGTTAGATTTGCATGCTGAGCAGAACTCTATGTCGCAGACTTTGCATTGCACCAACTGGGGGCTCTGAGGTCCTGATTCCTGAAGCTGGCAAACTGCTTGGCAGGAAGAGGATGGGCACCAAGTCCGACAAGGATCCAAAAGGATTTCTGTTAAGGAATAAGGTGCAGTTGAGAAAAGCTATAGATTAACAGCAGAATTAATAAATTTAATCCCTACGGAAGGCTGGGATAATAGATTAGGTATCCATAATCTGGCATAAATTGCAGTTGTTTATACTCCAGTGACAAAGGTGAAGACTTGGAATTGATCTTGAGTTATGGAACACAATGAGGAATGTCCAGTGACTGATAACGCTGCATTCTAAAGCTTTCACTAATATAGAATATGCAGGGAACAATGCAAACATTTTATTTTCAAATAAAATGGGAAAGCAAAGAAAACATGAGCTATTCCTGCCTCTGTTCCCTCCCCACAGTGTTTTGCAACACCCCAGTAATTTCTTGGAAGAAGAATCCAAACTTAACAGAATTCGGCTTCCCATTAATAAAATAATGTTACATATACTAAAAACCCTTCCCACACCATCCTCACAAAGAAAAAAACTAAGTGCTTAATCACCTTATCCCCAGGAGTCCTTGGTGAGAAACAGAATAATTGAAAAACTCTGTGCAACGCCTCTCTCCTCGTAGCCATGAAAACATGGCTTGAACCTAGTTTATAATCTCGACTTTTATAATACAATATCAAAGACAGTATAATGATCCCTTATATAGGTCTTCTTTGCCATGTCTGTGGGGTGACTTTGTTTTAACATTTTTTTAATCTCCCCCAAATTAGAGGCAATCGAATTTTACATGAAATACAAGTGAGTTTGGTATAGTGGTTAAGGCATAGGAACAAAACTCAGGACATTGTGAGTTGTAGTCTGCCTTAGCTACTGTATGAAAGATGCCTGGGTGACTGTGGACCAGTCATGCTCTCTCAGGCAGGATATAAGTCTAATTAAAAATAAAATAAAATAAAAATCACCTCAAAGCACTCCGCCTTATTTACATAACAATAAATGGAGATCTTCCAGAAAACACTGAACAAAGCAGAATAAAATAAATAGATTTTTTTTAAAAAAAAAATGGAACCAAATTATTTTCATAGTTTGGGGCAAACTATGGATTCTAGACTGTAGCCGCATACAATACCTCTTTCAAATTGTAGTTTTTTGTATCTCTGCATAATTTCTGATGCAACCATACACTCAATCTGTTGAGGAGAGAGGAAGAGAAAAATAGCGCTTAATATAGCTATGCTGTAAAAAGGTTATCGGATAAAAAGGAACATAATAAAAATCATTAATTTTAATTAGAAGTGAGTGTGACTATAATGTAAGATAAAGATGAAGACGGAACGTACTTCATTTTCTTGTAAATGCCCTCGTTTTGGGCAAGCAGCATCAGGACAGCTAATTGCTGTTTCAAGGCCTTCCTTGATCAAAAGCTCCACATACTGTTTCAGGCACTGTGAAAAGTCAAGGGAAATAATTATAAATGCCACACAGGGACTGGGATATATACAGATCACTGAATACTTTTTCCAGATAATGAAATCAACATAAGCCTTAGGAGTTAATTCACAGGAGTAGCCTAATTACATTTGAGCCCTTTTCATGCCATTATCTGCAAAATGCTTTCCAATAACTCGTTGTTAACAAAGGTACAAGGTTTACTGAGTGAATGCTCCACTCAGCAGGTAAAGCCTAAGGAACTTGAATGCTTCCAGTTTGGATATCATCATGGCCAACCCATAATTTGAAGTCAGAAATACTCATTATTTCCATGTCATAAATGAGTTCCTTCTCAGTTTCTTGTTTTAGATTAGTTTTCTGCAGTTTTTAGAGTGAGACAAATAGTTTTTAATCTCTAAATTTGTTTTTGATAGAAGCTTAAAAGATGACACCCACTGCTTTAGCATGAATTTGATAATGAAAAATACGAATATTGAATGTGATTAATATTAGCCCTTATTAGATAAATAAACCACCACAAGAGGTTTTTTGTTTGTTTACTAAGCAATGTGTTTTTCTTCCCTTTCTTCCTGCTCCAAACTGTTAGAAACTTTTCTAAGATGTGCTTAATAACCACTGAGTTGCTGCCATAGCTTTAACTATCTCTTGTACAGTCCTTGGTTAACAGTGGTAATTGGGACTGGAATTTCCGTCACTAAGAGATATGTTCCCAAAGCATGATTCCCATGGTTGCATCGCTTAGCATCAGCAACCCCAACATTTCCATTGCCATCATTAAGCAAGGCCCAAGCAGCTTGAAGGGCGAGTGGGGGGCTTTTGCTGGGCAGGAAAGGGTGAGTGGGTGGGTCAGGAGGCACAGCGCAAGTGTGCTGGAGGTGGCTGTTGCCAGAAGGGGGGTGAGAAAGGTACCAGAGTGACTCATGACCTTCTTTGCCAGTTTCCCCGCTGATGTTACTTGTGGGAAACCAACAGGAAAAGTTGCAGATGGCAACCATACGACAATAGGGTGCTGCAACCATCGTGAGTGTGAGCCAATAATCAAGCATCCAGATTGCGATCACATGACAGGGGGTTTGCTAGAACAAGCATCAGCACATGATCTAATCAGCAGAAATTCACCCAAATTATAGGGCTGGTATTGATATTGTTCTTTGATATCAGTTTTTTTGAATGGGAATTTAGGATAATTGCATACTGATGGTTATACAAGAAATGAAAGCTCTAGGCATAGTAATCTGTGTTTACTAAGATTCAGTTCTCGGAAAGCAAGCTAAATCCTATCCTCAAACAAGCAAATTCATATATAGCAAAATCTAACCACAAAAGTGCTAGGATGTGCAATTCCTGGACTGACTCCTTTGCCATCCTAAGATTCGCACATCAGTTTAGTGGAAGAACATTGCCTTGGGTAAACATCAAAACATTTTTTTCCAAGAATATTTTTTTACATAGTTTGGTCCACCTTTCTTTCAAGGAGCTTAGGAAAATGTGAGATGTTATTCTCACAACAAAGTTATGATTTCGGATTTAACACTGTAAGTGAGTGGCCCAAAGTCACTCAGTGATTTTCATGTCTGAATCCTAGTCCAGCTATGATACCCACTGTTTTGCCAACTTTTTTGAAGTTTGACGTATTTTTCTTATCAAGCAGACATTTTTCAAGAACTTTTTCTTTCCTTCCTTCCTTCTTTCCCTTTTCTGCTTCCTTTCCCCTTCCTTCTCCAAACCCCAATTTTCCTTCCTTCCTTCCTTCCTTCCTTCCTTCCTTCCTTCCTTCCTTCCCCAAACCACAATTGGAACAATTTGTTCTGATCCACATTGAAGCAGCTTTCCTTCTTGTCTTTGCTTGAAGAAGAAGAGTTGCATGCAAATACGATAATGCCACCTACTAGCAGAATTAGTCCAACAGCAAAATTTGGCCTACTGTGTTATCATCTAGTTATTAGCTGTTCCGTACTTCAAAGAAAACCATAAAGGTCGCCAGAGACAGCATGGTCTTACAGGTCCAAGTTCCTTGTAGGCAGTATAATATCAAACATACTGTTCCTGCAGCTCATAAATGACTTGTTTCCTTACTTTCCTTCTGAATAAAAAAAAGATGGGCAAAAACTAGGAGAAAGAAGCAGTTGTCATCCTCTGATTGTGTGCTAGGAAAGAGAACATGGCTGCAGAATCACATATTGACTGAGGACGATAATGACTAATTTAAGGAGAGCCATACTATATTATGGCATCTTATCTTGACAGATGGGAGTTTGCTCCAGATGCATTTCACAAGCAGAATTTTGAAGAAATTGCTTGTTACATTTATGAATTCAACCAAAATGTGAAATATGCTTCCATTCTGTGAAATACATGACTGAATGGATCATCTTTTTTTTAAAGAGCTGCATTTAGTAAATATTTAATTTGCAAACTTTCAATGGATTCCCATTTCCACATTTGTGCCAATGAAACCGCCATACGTGTGCCATACATTTGCTATTCTCCTAATAGGAAAACAACTTGTACATCCCCTGGATTTCTGTAATGTCTTCTTCTGACTGGGAATGACTGTTTTGTGCACAGAATGTGCAATTCGTTGTTTAGGAGCCAGATGGGAACTAATGATAATTAATTCCCAGAGTATGACACCTATGTAATTATTACACCTATATGGTAAAAGTTTTCTGTTTATATTGTAACATCCTATGAGATATTCATTTATAAAAGTTAAGAATGTTGAAATACTTCTGATTAAACAATGTATTGCCTGATGAGGATATTTCTTTGTGATTAAATATTATAGTACACATGAGTTCTCATAAAAATATTATTTGATTATTCAAGATCAGTAATAAAATAGTAATCTTAAAACATTACACACACATAAACATTAATATGGTCTATTGTTATAGAAATTAAATCTCTGTGATGCTTTTGGTGACGCTGAAACATCAGGCGCCGCAATATGTGCTTCAAAAATTGCCAATTTGAAGGCTCATATGCAAATTGTATGTATAACAGGGTGAGAATCAAGAACAAAACCAGTAGCTGCTATCTTAGTCAAGAGGTCAAAGAATGGATTAGGAGTACATGTTTTCTATCACTTGTTAGCATGAATTTACAAGTCACAAATCCAAAGAAGGGAGAAACCAAGTTGAAACTGATAAAGTTAAAAGAACTCAGTCCACCTTCTCTTTATTTTCTCTATATCATAGTAGTACAGCTCAGCACAGTCAGAAAACTCCAAAATTCTGTCTAACCCCATAGCAGACAGGCATTGTTTCATTCATGCAAGCTCAGTATTATGCAAATCATGGTACTGGCTGGCCAGAAGAAATTTCTTGCAAGCATCACCATGTGATCTAATGCAGTGGTGTAATCTGTAGGGGATGGATGGCAGAAGAGTTTTTCTCTTCTTACAAGAGCTCTACTGGATCTCAAACTGGATCAGTTGATCAGCTTTATTGTCTGTTTAACTGAATATCATTTTCTGGGTGGAAATGCACACTTGTTAAAAGTAAAATATTTGACGGCTTTCAAGAAACAACTTGGATGTAGAGAGATGAATGGTTGAGAAACGAGACAGAATTATGGGCAAGTCTTTCGGGCTGTTACTGATAGTGTTGCTGAAGATATTTAGAAAATATGCTTCTCAACTTTTAAGCTGTATTTGAACTCACTTAGGGATGTCTGAACCTGATTCAGGCATTTAATCTTATAATTTTAGGTAAGGGCGAAAGATAAACTATCCATGTTGGCCCCATTCTTCCATCATGATCTTTTAGCTCTATTCTTGTCAACTGGCAGTTTTAATCTAAAACAATGTGGCTTGCACAATAAGCATAGCAGCTCTAGAGCAAGTGTGCACAATGTGTGACACTTATTTGGACCCCTAAACCTCTAAAAATATAACCACCAAATTGTAAGCTACAATTTGAAAGAAAGGAAAAATAAATATGGTGTATTTTTATCAAATCACTGTTTTTCATTCATTTCACTGAATTAATTGTAATTTAATGTTCAATCCAGTTTAGGATTCTTGCTGTTGTTTCAACCCTGTTCACTTTTTTGAAAACACCCCACATGCACCATGCCAACCCCCTGGATGCATTCCACTATAAAACCAAATCACCTCTTGGCTTGGAAAAGATTGCTTACCCTTGCTCTAAGTTGTAAATCAGAATAAGCCTGGAGCAGGCTGAGAGATAAATCATAAGAGAAAACCTAGGAGCCAGGAATAGTCTGTGCTCTGCAGACAATCCACCCCCTCCCCCATTTCCATTCATGACCATTAGGGAATTGCAAAAAGCAAGGTTGTGTATGTTAATTGTTTAGGAGTACATTAATTGATCAAACGTGTGTGATAATTATTATCCTCTGAAAAGACTGCTTCTTGCAAATGCTCATGAATTTTAATTTGTAATCTCAAAGTGATTCGTGTCCTCTAAAGCAGGGGTCCCCAACCACCGGTCCGTGGACCGGTACCGGTCCGTGGAACATTTCCTACCGGGCTGCCGGTTTGCTGGGTGCCGCCATCTTGTTTGACGAGAAAGTGCTTCCGGGTGAGCTTTTCCAGTTGGAAAGCGGCGTTTGGGTCCTGAAGGAATCCTCACACCTTAGTTTCATTGAGGGGGGGGGGCTTCGAACAAAACTAAGGTGCAAGGATTCTTTCAGCACCCAAGGCAAGGCGAGCCAAACAACTGTCCCGAAGCCGTCCCGAAGCGAAGCCCATCGACAAAGGTACAAAGGAGGAGTTGAAGGTGGTGGGGAGAAGTGGGGGACAGCTGGCTGGCCGGTCCCTCGGATCGCCTTACCTTGTCATGCGTGCTGATGCCGGTACCGGGCCGCGGATCATTTTGTGATGCCGGTACCGGGCCATGGCACAAAAAAGGTTGGGGGCCACTGCTCTAAAGTAGCATCTGAATCTGACAGTAAACATCAAAAATGATCCACTATATTGTACCAGAATAAAGTTAACCACAATCTACCTCCTGTCCCAAAGTGACAA